CTTTTTGACTCTCCCATTCTCATTCCCTGCCATTTCATACCGCAGATAGTGTCACATGTTCGCTTATTCGGTTCTTTAGAAAATCTGGAGCTTACGACTATATTACAAAGCACATTCTGCATAAAATGGCAGAAAGTGGATGAAAAAAATTCTGTTATAGGCACTTTTGTAAATGTCAATAAATTCCCTTTACTAATCGCTACCTAGAACCATCAAATTTTGAATAACGTAAGTTTCCACCCGAAAATGGGCAACTGAAAGCCCAAATTTGGAATTTGGAATTTTGTTTTATTATCCATTTCATATTTTGTAAAACTTTATCGAATTTTTGATTAAAAAACTCAACGATTTCAGAGCGAGCAATGGCAACACTGTACGGCGGAAATTTTTTTTTTATCTCCAGCGCGCGAGAACATGATATTTAATAAATAAAGGTAACACACAAAACGTTAAAAAAAAAAGCCCTTTTGGGCGTAATGTAAAATTTGAAAGCTTTCAGATTTTTAGTCCAAAGAGGCACTCGCCTAGAAGGACTATTAATTTCGTTTTGGCATTTTGCATGGATTCACTATAAGCGTTGTTTCACTTTTCAAATTGTTGCCACAAAATATTAAAGCCCTGTATTATACTTAAAGAAATTAAATAATTGAAGAATCTGCATGAATGTATGTACATTTCTCGTACTGAGATCAAAGAACGGTACCTAGAGCCATCAAAATTTGAATAACGTAATCTTCCATAGAATATGGGCATGTGGAAGCCCTTATTTGAATTTGAAATTTGCCTTATTATCGATTTCATATTTTGTAACACTTCAACGAGTTTTTGATTGAAAAACTAAACGATTTCAAAGCGAGAAACGTTGTACAGAAAAAACACTTTTATCTCCAGCGCGTGAGACTGAGTATCGGAAATTCTAAAGATATACTCAGTTTAAAATTATTTTGCGATGTTGCTCTTGAACTGAATTTTGTGGTTTAAGTTTGAAGAACGTGATATTTAATAAATAAAGGTAGCACACAAAATGTTAAAAAACGCCCCTTTGGACGTTAATTTAAAATCGGAAACCTTTCAAATTCTCTTTTTTCTTCTTTCTTAATTATGTATTTATTCTTTGTGACATAAAAAATAAAAGACTCTTTTTTCCAAAACCAATATTAACGTGATGTTAAAATGGATGCAAAATGGATTTTTAATGACTTCTGTGAGTAAGTTTAATTTCTTGCATAGCTCAAAAACATATAGCCATAGAAGGTTAAATTTTATACATAGGACTGCTATAAAATGTAGTTGTGCACTTTACCTTTTTTTTATTCCAATCCCGGGGCCCACCAGCGGCCGAGCTGTAAAGTCGCTGAACACTGGTAGTTCGGTCCGAGGTTCGAATCCCGCGAACGGGCTGGTTGCATGGGTGTTTTCGTGGTTTTCCGCATGTGTAACGTGTATACGAGCCAGTTTTCCTTCGAAAGTCCTCCACGAAGGCATCCCTTCCCTTAGGCAGATAGCCCTAGTGTGCTTTGCCATAATTAAATACACCATATTCCAATCCCGGCAGTACCAAAAGTGTATACATATACATATTCCTACCCCCTTACCCGGCCTTTTATATTTTCGCAGTCGTCGAAGTCACACGTTTCCAATTATGGAAGTGTTTTGAGGAAAATATTGATGTTTTAGCTATGTCAAATTTAAAAAAAAATTTATTTTTTGATAGATAGCGAAATTATTTTTAAATGTGGTCTCCCTTTTCCTACACATATATTTGTGAAAGTTTTATACACGTTATGAAAAAATAAAAATGTAAGAAGTTTGACTCCTGTACGGCAAAAGGGATCCGTTAATTAAATTAGAATAATGCAGGAAATAAATTTAAGTGCAGCAAAAAATGTGTATAATTTAATGGGCCGTACAAGGAAATCATGTTGTGCTCAAATCAGATTTTTTTTAAGCGAAAGTTAGTCATGAGAAAGGTGGTGGCAATGTACCGAGAGACGTCCCAAATCCTTACTTCGTCAAGGTGATTGAGCCGGTAAATCAGACCTGAGTCAACAGAGTTGAATTCGTAAAAGTTGTCGTCCCTGATCTATTTAATTCTCTTAAAATAAATAACGAACATTTCAAGAATTATCCTTTCTTAAGATGTCGCTTTCGTAAACAATTTTGCCTCATTTGAATACGCTATTCAAAAAGGTTTATTAAAATATGTACTGTTTCTACGATTTGGAATGGTAATTTATAATTCCACTGAGGTAGAAGATTTTACTCTGATGCAGTTATTACAAATATTATATTTTTTACTTTTATATTTTATAAAAATGCATTTAATTCATAACATATATAATTAAAAACAGTGAATTCTATAGAATTGCATAACATATTTTTAGTCCAAAGGGGCTCTGTCCCTGAAGGACTATTGTTTCCGTTTTGCGATTTTGCGTTGAATCACTATAAACGTCCGTTTCACTTTTCAAACTGTTGCCACCAAATGTTAGAATCCTGCATTATATTTAAAGAAATGAAATAATGAAAAATCTGCATAAATGTATGTCTATTTCTCGCATTGTGATAAAATAACGCTACACAGAGCCATCGAATTTTGAATGACGTAATTCTTCTACGAATATGGGCATGTGTAGGACCAAATTTGAAATTTGGAATTTGTTTTATGATCGATTTCATATTTTGTAAAACTTTAACGAAGTTTTGATTAACGGTCAACGATTTCAAAGCGAGTTATGGCAACACTCTACGGGTAAAAAAAAAAACTTTTCATTTCCAGTGCGCGGAACTGTGTAACGGAAATTCTAAAGATATGGTCATTTTAAAATTATTTTGCGACATTGCTATTGAACTTAATTTTATGGTTTAAGTGCAAAGAACATGTTATTTAATAAATAAAGGTAACACACGAAACGTTAAAAAAAAAGGCCCCTTTGGACGTAATTTAAAATCTGGAACCTTTCAGATTTTTTTTATTCACTTTTGAAATATACAAAAGATACGTAATGCTCCAATTTGTTTCTCTAAATGAATATTATTGTAATACCCTATAAAATGTTTCGTTGTACCTCTTGGACTATGTTTATCAATAATTACTACTGATAAACTGTATTAAACATTAGAAAAAAATTCCTGGATGATCTCTAAAATCTCAATACAAAAATCTGAGCCTTTTCAGTTTTTTTATTTTTTTATTTTTGTTCTAAAATATTTCAGTTCTAGTATTTTTCTTACAAATTTTGTTCAAACTTTCCGGTTAGAGAACAAAAGTTTTTTAAAGTTAGCTAATTGAAAATTGCTCAAGAATTTAAAATCTGTGATTTTTGTTGATAAAAATAAAGTAATGTGAGGAAATTATTTTGATATTTTTATCTACATCTTTTTATTAAATGCATTTTGTGCCCTTCATTCTTTCGTCTTTCTGATTTAAAAGTTTTCTTTTATTCGTCACAAAAACACATTTCACGCTTATTTTTGAATTAATTTTTGATATTCATGTTCAAATTATTAAAGAGTTTCGTGATTGGAATATATTTTTTATTTCTCTACAAAATACATTTTTCTTTTTATTTCCACACACTCACTGCTCAAAATGTTATACCTTTTTCTACGATGTAAAATAGGTATTTAATATTAATGCTTAGCTGTATTATCACTTTTTTTAATTTACTCAACGGTATTTTAAATAAACTAAGTGTTTTTAATGCTTTCAAGTCGAAATAATATATAAGATATTCACCGTATACGAGTGAATGGCATCACGAAAGAATATCACTTCTGTGATAGCCACGGAGGATTATCATAGAAATTTAAAAAATCAACCTTGAATTATTTTAATTCATTTAGTCGACCCATCAACGAAAGCCAGAATACATAAAAGGTAAACTTTAAAATAAATAAAATAAATAAATAAATAAAATAAAATAAATAAAAATAAAATAAATAAATAAATAATAAATAATAATAAAATAAAAAAAATCTGAAAGCTTTCAGATTACGTCCAAAGGAACTTTTTTTTTCAACCTTTTGTGTGTTACCTGTATTTATTAAATATCACGTTCTTCGCACTTAAACCATTAAATTCAGTTCAATAGCAATATCGCAAAATAATTTTAAAATGAGCATATCTTTAGAATTTCCGATACACAGTCTCGCGCGCTGGAGATAAAAGTGTTTTTTCTGTCCGCTATGAAATCCTGGAGTTTGTTAATCAATTGTTTTACAAAATATGATACAGATATTAAAACAAATTTCAAACTCCAAATTAGGGCTTCCAGTTGTAAAATGGATTTAAAATGGTTTCAAAATATATTTTTTCGTGACGTCTATAAGTGCGTACGTATATATATCTTGCATAACTCCAATATTTCTGTTCTAGCGAAGTTAAATTTTTAAAAAAAATTAATTTTGGGCAAAGAAAGAAATCTAATTTTTAATGCGTCTCCCGATTCCTATACTTATATTTGGAATAGTTTTATACTCGTTATTAAAAAACAGAACGACCAGAAGCTTGGCTCCCGTACAACAAAATTTAACCGGGGTATTATATTTTAAAATTTGCAATTTTTGGTGTTATTTTCAACTTGCCTTGGGGAATCGGTTAATTAAGTTAGAAAGAATAATTCGAGGAAATAAATTTTAATGAAGTGCAGCAAAAAAGTTTGTAATGGCCGTACAAGGAAATGATGTCGAGTCCATATCAGATATAATAATTACGAAATTTTAATTTTTTAAAAAAACTACATGAATCGGGAAACTATATAAAAAGCTAGACTTCGTAATTTTCAGAAACTTTTTTTTTCTTAATTTAAAAGTAACATAAATGAACATTTTGATCACTTTTGTAACTGGAACTACGATTGAGCTAAAAATGGCCACTTCAGGAATTTTAGGAACACACTCTACATATAACGTCTCGTTGAAAGAATATTTAAAGAGAACTAACAAATAGTAAGAATATTAAAAAACAAAATAATTAAATACTGAAAAATATACATTACCCAAAAAAATAAATTAAATGTGACCAGAAGGCCTTTGGCACACCTTGCACCGCAAGACAATCCCATAGCTGCCTAATTTGGGGCTTCAGATTTTCCTTGTTATCTGTGAAGAGGAATATACAGAAACTGTATTGGATCCATAAAGTTAACATCACTGTACTTGGCATATTAAATAAATTTTAGAAAAACATTAAATCTTAAAAATAGGTTTTTAATAGAAAAATGGCGATTCTTTGTGAGGAGCTAAAATAATTCGAAGCAAGTGCAAGCGCACTGTTTCGAGCGCCATGAGACGATGCAAGAAAATTTAACGCCATCTATTGAGGGAAAAAGAAAATAAAGTGAGTCAAAAATGCCCAAAGCAGATGATAATGGCTACTGGAATTACAGTTTATATTAAGAATGCACAGGGCATGATTTACACAAGGTCAAAAAGGGCTTATGTTGTGATTCCATTTTTAGAAGTTTCCCAAATCCTTCTGCAATGTTCAAAATATGTAAAATTTTAAATAATTTTATCAAAAAATTAAAAACATGAATAAAATTTTAAAACTTTTATTTTAGTTTTTGAGATCTTCATTCAAAAATTTAAAAATCGTGTGAATATGAAGAGGTTTTGATTATTTTAGGCGTGGTCATACACTTGATTTTTAAACTGATAAAAAGTCTACCTGTTTCGTTTGCTCTTATCTTTGTAATTTAGCTAAAATTTTTAATAAACTAGTAAGAATTCTTTATATCTTCTCTTTACTCTAGTTCCTTTCTTAAAACAAACAAAAAATCTGATTTAAAATGTTTAATCCTATATTTTGATACCGTATACACATGATAGACTTTTGAACCATATACACTCGATACACTGAAATCGGAAAAACACAATATATGCCGTGTTTCCCCCGAAAACATCACTCTATCTTATATTAATCTATGCTGCGAAAGATACGTTTGTTCATGTTCAAGAAACATTCAAAAATGAAGAAAATCATTTACACTAACACAGTCATGCCATTTTTTTCAGAAACATCGTCATAAAGCTCCAAATCACGAATACTAGACTGAAATTTTTGAGATTTCATTTCCTTTAAGCTCATTGGCCCTAGACTCTCATGTTCAGCAATAGAGCTCTTCTTGTTCACGTATTCTGCTCGAGGGCACTGGCAACACAGCTGTCCGTTGTTTTATCCCTCTTCTCCCAAGTAGCGAATTATTGTAGCTTAGGTTTCACATAGTCTTCTCGTTGATGTCTCTCCATTCCACGTTCAATGTAGTCATTGATTTCCGTGAGCAAAAGGTCTATAAATGCCGTGTTTATTGCAATATAAAGAGTTTGAAGATATGCAGTCAGTCTGTGAAAATAATTATTTGATCAAATATTCTTTCTGCAAAGACATTCTTCATGGTTTAAACGCGGTGAGTGCCGGTGTCCCAAACTGGAATACCTCTTTGGCCATTTCGCAAAACAAGTGACAGAAATAAATCGGCCCACTTTCTTACTGCTGCTTCTGTGCACCAAGCTAATACCTGAAATACGTTCGATTTCCTCTTTCATTACAGATCAGAAGGAGGTTGCCTATCCATCGAGCCCAATTGCCAAAATACATGTAACGCATGCACTTTCTTAACTAGTTGGGGGAATGCATATCGCAGAGGTACCATTCTGATCAATGGCGGTTTGAGACGCTTCGCCCAAAAGCACTGCAATTTCTTCCATAGCAATCACGTTCGAGAGTTGGTACTTGCAGAAGTAGATGCTATTGTGATAAGGTCGCATAAAGGAAGTAGAAACTGAAGATTAATATGGACAAGGATGTCTCGAGAGCATAAGATGAATATTATTATTATTTCACTTCCCGAATACGTTTTCAATAGTTGTTAAGTTGAATTAATTCTTTTAAAAATAATATTAATATGTTGGCATTGTTTCAAACGCAGGCTCGAGAGCCACGTATGGCTCTCGCACGAAAAATGTAGCGATATTTGAATTTTTTTAAAAAAGAAAAGGAAGATATAGGTTTTTAGAGGGGCGGGAGAACCTCGGACCACCCCCGGCAAAATTAATTCCTCAAAATTGGGGTGGAAAATTTAACAGTTAGCTAGGTTCAGCAATACCTCAATTACCTGTGGTACTACGGAGGTGCTGGCCTAGCTTCTACCAGTACCTGTACCTGTTGATTTGTATGTAGCCTTTTATTTTGGGCGTTCAATAAAATTTTCATGCGGTGTTCCATCATTAGAGTTTTCATTGGGGTTCAATACCACACCACACTATCAACGAAGGATAGATTACACTGAATGCAATTGCACGTTTAATCATTTAAGTATCTTCTAATTTGAACAGGGTTGTCAATCTTCTTAGAGACAGTTTATATCGCTAAAGAAAGGTATCCCAGTATTGTGATGCCTGGCGATATGTCTAGCTGTGGTGCGATTGCTAGGGCAAATGCATGAATATCAGCCTTGCTAACAACCAAATACTCTGTTCTTCTGTCAGCAATCCATTCACAGATGATGTGTTTCAATTTCATTAAGTATTGGCTGCCGACCCTACTTAAGCTTAATAGTATTCCCCTCGTCGACCTGTCGACTGAGATTATTGTACGATTGAGATCGCCATTTCGGACCATTCGTAGATCCAAATTCTCCTGTTTGCAGAAAGCTTGATATTTGCATCCCTGGAGTCTAAGACAGTTTCTTCTTTATTGTATTCGACGGAATAGAATTTTTTTTTTTTTCGTTCATTTTATTTGAGGATCAAAATTTGTTATCCTTAAAATTTATTATTAAATCAAGTGCTAAACGTCCGCTGCTAACTCGACGGATTGAATACTGAAGATTCTAATTTGTCGCAACCACGTCCGTTTGTTTCAAATGTGCATGTGTGCTGCGCCTGTACTCGGTCATCTGGCAATAAGGTGCCTTCTGGCTGACGATTCTAGGGCTGATATTAAGAGTACACTGAAAAATCATGTTACGGTTTATTTTTTTATTAGGTCTTATTTTCGCGGAAGCACGGTAGAAAAATGAAGAGCGTGTATGTTTAAGTAACATTAAATAAAAAATTAAAAAAAAAAGTACATTTTTAGGCATTTCACGCTATAGTTTATATCATTTTCTCAGTATTTATACTGGTAATTACAAGGGAAGGGTGAATGACTTGCCGGAACCCTCCAGTTTTGTTAACCAGTTGGCAACTTCAAAAGATTTTCAAAATTTAGAAAAGCGCGAAGTTATATTTTTGTAATAAAAATATAAAATAATGAAGGAAGAGATAACAATGGATGACATGTTGCTACCTACTGTCGCAGGTAGACAAGGCTAACAACAAAACAAGACAAGACAAAGATAACATATATTGCGAAAGATCCATATTTTGGCTATCAATACACAATCACTTAAAATAATATATAAAAGTTAAATAGAAATGATGAAAATGTAAGCTTCGAAAATTTAAACCAGAATACAAAACTTCTGAAAATCATCTTACTGTGGAAAGATGTCGGAAAAATTTAATTATTTTGGTAGACCGTACACATTTTACGTGATTAGAAATATGCTGACTGCAAATTGAATGTGTAGGATATATGACGTGCATGTCACGTAATTACTCCACTTTTTTTTTTTTTTTAATAATCCTTTACTCCACCTTTACTTTACTTATTTCATAGATGGCACCACTTGAACGCTATTTTTAATTCAAAATGTCGGTAAAACGGCGAAAAAATAAATGATTAAAACAAAACAAATTTTAGTGCCACCATCTGAAATATTAATAACTCTTCAATCGCGGTAGATCGTTTACTGTAACGAAAGTGTCCCCAGTGGCGCAACTGGTTAGCGCGCCGTACTTATACGACAGTACGTGTGAGAGATGCGGAGGTTGTGAGTTCGATCCTCACCTGGGGAAGTTTTATTTTACAACTTTAATTCTTTTCTAAATTTTGAGATATTTGATTTATTTACGTATAAAATTGTGGCGAAATTTATTACTAAAGTGAGAAAGTTTTTGCTTAATTGTTATAAAATTTAGTATTTTTTAATGCAGAGGACTTATTATTTTCTTCATTCCGTAGAATTCCGAATTAATGCCTAATTTAAAAAATTAGGATTAGATATATGTAAAAAAAGAAAAAAAAAAAAAAAAAAAAAAAAAAAAAAAAAAACAACTAAAATGTTTCAGATTTTAAATTACGTCCAAAGGGGCGTTTTTTAACATTTTGTGTGTTACCTTTCTTTATTAAATATCAGGTTCCTCGCACTTAAACCATAAGATCCAGTGCAACAGCAATATCGCAAAATAGTTTTAAAACGAGCATATCTTTAGAATTTCCGATACAGAGACTCACGCGCTGGAGATAAAAAATGTTTTTTCTGCACAACGTTGCCATTGCTCGCTTTGAAATCCTTGAGTTTGTTAATCAAAAATTCGTCAAAGTTTTAAAAAATAGGAAATCGATCATAAAACAAATTTCAAATTTCAAATTTGGTCTTCCACATGCTCATATTCGTTGGAGGATTACGTTATTCAAAATTCGATGACTCTATGTACCGTTGTTTTATCACAATACGAGAAATATACATACATTTATGCAGATTTTTCATTATTTAATTTCTTCAAATATAATGCAGGACTCTAACATTTTGTGGCAACAGTTTGAAAAGTGAACCGACATTTATGAGTCCGACGCAAAATGCCAAAACGAAACTAATAGTCCTTCGGGATTCAAATCCCTTTGGACTAAAAAAAAAAAAAACTGATGTGTACACCACATGACTTTTTGTGCGGAATATTAAATTATACACATTAATTATTATAATTATTAATTATTGTAAACGAAACACTGTGAAATAAACGATCTAAATATCCCATTAGCATCTTTTCTTGCTTCATAGTTATGTAATAAGAATTAATAGGGATCGATATAATTATGAAGAAGTGGAAGGGGTTGATCAAATTCTATCAAAAAGTATTTCGGAGCCACTGAGTCTATGGAATAAGATGGGTAAAATTTATATGCCTGAATCTTTTCCAAATTAATTGTGATTGAGAAAAACGATGCAAGTCTTCACATACGTTTCCGCTGCTAATATGCATACGATAGGATG